CACCCACCCACACACACACACACGCACACACACACACACGCACACACCATAGCAAAATAAAAAATTTAAAAAAAGAAAAGCAGTCAGGACTGCTGAGACTGGAGGATTGCTGCAAGTAAAAGGCCAGTCAGGACCACAAAGTGAGTACCAGGCTAGCCTGGGGGTACAGAATAAGGCCTTGTTCCACACCCTCCACCACAAAGTAGTTGACATGACATATGAAGTCATCATTTGATGTGATCTCAGCTATACGTAGGTAAATAGAGCTATTTACCACTGCTAAGCATGATGAATGGTAAAGCTATGGGTAATTTCTAATGACTTTCCTTTAAAATTTTTGTTTATTATTATGTGGCATGGTGTGTGTGGGGTGGTGTAGGGTGGGTGGGTGCTCCTGCCACAATGCAAGTGGGGACAGCTCCATGCAGTTGGTTCTCTCCTCCCACCTTTATGCTCACTTCAGGGACTCAGGCCACAAAGTTTGAGCAGCAAGTGCTTTACCAGCTGAGCCCTGTTTTTGTATTTTGAAACAAAATCTCATTATGTAGCCCAGGTTGGCCTAGGCTCTGCCTCCCAAGTGCTGGGACCACAATACCTGGCATATTTTTAAATAACAGTGTGATTAATTGAAAATAAGCCAACAACTCCACCCTTGTCCTACTTCTACTCAGAACCACACCAGATGAAGTTCACAGAAGGGGTGCTGGTGGACTGGCCGCCTCTTATCCCCTCTGGCACTTACTGTATTTCAGTTCCCAGATGCTTCAGAGAGATGTTCTGAAGGGCTGAGGGCATGGCAGGGACAGGCTGCAAGGCAGCCGCAGCACCCACAAGTCCAGTGGGTGTTTTCACAGGACACAGGAACTCCTCCAGCTCCGCCTCTTGTTCTAGGGGGCCAAGGACAGGCAGTCAATACTAGCATGAACTAGCATACTTCCTGTAGGAATGACTTAATCCTGGGCTACAGGCTCAGCTCTGACTGACAGCTGCTCAGCTAGTAAACTTGATTAGGGTTAACAGTAGCAAAGCAGCTGTAAGATGATCTGTTTTGCTGCAGCAGCCTTCCCAGAGACTCTTCACAACCATGCAGGCCTGCAGGTTATTCTATATCTCATAAGATGTCTGAAACGTACTGAAACTTGATGTGCCAAGGTGTCTATCCTAGCATGACTTGTAGTACCTTAAAGTTGGAATAACTTTTTCCAGAGTTTTTGTTTGCTTGTTTTATTTTAGATTGTGCATGTATGTGTTTGGGGGGAGCATGTATACATGTTCAAATGTGTATTGGACACACATGCATATCAGATATCTTTCTCCATCTCCCTGCTTTATTTACTAACACAGGGTCTCTCACTGTCCCCAGAAATTGCTGATTAGGATTGTCTACCTATCCGGCTTGCTTTGCATCTCCTGTCTCTACCTCCCCAGGGCCAGAATTATAGGGGGCCAAGTGTCACACCTACCTGGTTTTTACATGAGTTCTTAGGTATGTATGGCAACCCTTTATCTACTGAAGCAGCTCCCCAATCTTTCTTTTGGACACAGAGTCTAACTAAATTACTCACACTGTCCTTAACCTTGTACTCCACACTCCTGCCTTCAACTCTCAGGTCCTGGGATTACAGGTGCACACCACTAAGCTGGCCTTGAAATGAAAACTTCAAAACCAGGAGCAGGTTGGGTAAATCATGGTGCCTCCACACAACTGCCACTCAACTATGTAAAATATGTTGATGAAGAACACAAGAGACGTGGGCAGCAACTGTCTCAGGAGGTTAAACAGAAGACTGCTGTGAGTTCTGGGCTAGCCTGGGATACATAGTGAAGCCTTTTCTTCCAGAGAACATAAGGAACACACATGAGATATAATAGTAAATGGAAAATGCCAGATTAAAAAATGGAGTTACAAACCCAGGCATTGGTGGCTCATGCCTTTAATCCCAGCACTTTGGAGGCAGAGGCAGGGGGGTCTCTGTGAGTTTGAGAACAGCTTGGTCTACAAGAGCTAGTTCCAGGACAGCCTCCAAAGCCACAGAGAGACCCTGTCTCAAAAAACCAAAAATAAATAAATAAATAAATAAAAATGGAGTTACAATTGGTCTCAATTACACTGAAAAGTTTCAAAATAGACTCTGCACGGGTTAGGGATGTTGCCTAGATGCACAAGCTCCTGGATTCAAGGCTCCAAACATTAAAAAAGAAAGAAACAAACTTCTTCATCTGAAGAGTGACTGGAACCTTCCCATTAATATGCATGCAGATAGGAACAAGATTTAAGATCAATTAGCAGCAAAGACTTCTAGTTAGCTATCATTTTGCATCTAATCATCTGCCATTTGTCACAGGGAAATTCAAAATTACCACCTAAGAAAGTCACTAGGGTCTCAAGGTCTTCTCACCACTCACTTGAGAGACATCGACCAGGTTATTTTATGGCCCCACTGAACTGTTTTTCTATGAGTCTCAGTCTCTCTCAAAATAAAAAACCTTATGACTTTAGGGGTGGGGGAAATTTATCTGTGCATCTCATCTGTAAAGAAGGTGTGAGTATAAAAACATTTACCACCATGGTGGTGATCATGGGAGGTGAGTAGGGTGGGAGTGGAGGTTGCACCACTCACCTAATAAAACCTGTAATCACTTAAACAATAGTGGGTCACACATTGCTAATTCCCAGCAGGCTGGTCAGTTGACTTGGCTACAACACTCAAAGCCATTCTTTTGAAGCCTCCTTTCTATTTCTCCTCCTCCCCTACATGCACTGGGCTTCCAGGGAGGGCTAGAGGAAGTGAGATGGAGCAAAGCTGCAGGATGCTGAGGACAAGACAGTCCTCCCACCTCAAGCCACAGCAGCCTCCCTAGGGGAAGAGCAGTAAGTCCGGGAGGGCTGTGAGGGATGGGGCTGACTTGACCTGCACTAGGAAGGAGGGCAAAGAGGGAAGGCATTAATGACAGATTCTAGCACCAGAGCTGAGCCTGTGGATCAGGACCAGGGTGACCAGATGGGAAGGCCATGTATAGGGTATGGCTAGGGGGCAGGGTCATGAGGAGTGTATATGTGTATGTGAGGGGGCAGTATGTGTATTTGTATGTATGTGTGAGGAAGAGTGTGAGCTTATGTGTATACATGTATGTACGAATGTGGTATGTGTGTGTGTTGTTCAGCAAGAGCCTGAAGTACTAGACCTGCCTTTGGCTGGGAGATCTGAGGCCAGGCCCTGTTTCCACAGGGAGGATTCTGTGCTCTGTTGGAAATCCTTTACACCAAAACAAACAAATGAAAACTCAGGAAGGCTACTGTCTACCCTGGGTTCTTCGAGGTTAGAATACACACAAATAGAAAAGGCTAAGGCCCCATAATGAGGACTCCAACCTTTCAGATTTTGAACAGACTCAATATGAAATTGTCTTACTTGTTAATACTTTAGTCACCTTCCCTCTCCCTTATTTAGAGCCAACCAAATCAGTTTCTCTCAGATTTTAGTATCTTGGTGTGTACTTCTTTTGCAGTGTCAGGTTTCCTACACCTCCCTTCCTATGGCCCAAGATCAACTCTGTGGTTACACCAAACTGCTGTGTGTGTGTGTGTGTGTGTGTGTGTGTGTGAGAGAGAGAGAGAGAGAGAGAGAGAGAGAGAGAGAGAGAGAGAGAGGGAGGGAGAGAGAGAGAGAGA